ACTAAGAGTTAACTGGAGCTCTGGTAGCATAGTGCCTAAGGCACTTGACTGCTAACCAGGAGGCTGGCGGTTCAAACCCACCAGCCACTCCTCGGCAGGAAGATGGGGCAATCTACTTCCAAAGTGATACTGCCTTGGAAACCCAAGGAGGGGTTGCTATGAGTCAGGTCCGACTCAACGGCATGTAACAACAACAACAAGAGTTAACTAAGAGTTATAGATTCCCAGTATTTCTAAAGCCAGTATTTAAATTCAATTCAGATATTTATTTAACATTTACTGTGCCTGACAAGGCATTATGTTGTCCTCTTTCATATTTTATTTCATAATTAAATCATTTAAAATAATGAACCTGAAGCATCATTTCATTTGGTGAAAATGGAAAAAATAAATTTCTAATCCACATTTCCTCTATGACAGATTTGGGAAGGTTAGAATTATGTGAAAATGAAGAGTTGAGTTATTTAAGGTATAAAGAGTTTGTCAGATAACCAACTTTTCTTTTTGAAAGAAATTGTAGTACTGAGAGGGAATGTACTGGGTTAGGAAAGAGAAGTAAAATTACTGATTATATTTCATACAGTAACTTTGTTGGGCATTGTGTTTACCCTTAATTGCTTTGGGGTATTCATATAGAAGAAAGTATTTTTAAAATGTCATTTTTTTGGTGAAGAAAAAGACATTAGAAATCAAATTTGTAAAATTTTTTAGTTTTCAAGTATCAAAGAATGACTTCTTTCTGTCTTAACCACAGAGTTTTTCCCAGTCTCTCTTGTTTCTTTCCTGGGTGTGGGAAGAGGGAAAAAAATTGATCTTTTAAGTAAATTAATGGCATTAGAAACCTAGGAGTCTATTTTATATTCTTCCAAACTGCTAATTCTATAGTCATACATACTTTTCTTTCCTTTTTTAAATGGGAGTTGAATACATTATTTTCTTCCTTCCCTTGGGATTGACAAAGCTTAATTAAATGTTTGTAAAGCACTCTGAGATCTATGGATAAAACACTATATAGGTACTAAATATGATTAATAATTACTGAGAAGAATGGACCATTTTTTCTCAGTTTTTTAGTAATTAAGTGAATACTTTATGTGGAATAAATGCAAATGAATATAGTGGTATTAAATTTATCAAGAAAAGTGTTTACATGAAGTAATTTCCTCATATGTGTATAGAATCTCTAATTCTTAGATCATTGTTAATGATAATTTAGAAGTCATTGGATATACTTGACATAGAGCAGAAGTTTGTTCCTTGGTCCTCTTTCCTAGCTGGATCTATTTAATGTGATGTGCTACATCTGGAGGATTAGGGAATACAATTAAACCAAATTAAGACTACTTCAAGGTAAATGTGATTTATTCTTACTTGTAGAAAATCTGTAATATGTGATTCCTCCTAAACCTTAAATTTATATTTTATTTCTTAACAGTGCATGGCATAGTATTTATACCTGACGTAACTGTATTTCAATAGTCAGCATAGTGTGTATAGTAAAATTTTGGTTTTACAATATCGAGTTTTACGACCTTTAGGTTGTAGGCATTGAGCCAGCTTGTGAGAGAAATGGCACCAAGTCTCAACTCAGGAAAGCATCAGTGCCTGAGGAGGTGTGATTTTTCTAACTTTATCTGTCAGGTTACTTGATTAGGCTAGTTTCCTTCTTGAGAGAATTGACACTTTTTTTCTAGAGAGAAACTAGCAATGGGGAACATTCATATATTAAAAGCAGACACTATCAGCATGGGGTTAATTTGACTTAAATTTGGTGAAGAGGTTTTGGCAGATGGAATGTGTAGGACAAGGGATAGGTGGATGAAAGATGTAGGATTTGATTATTTAGTCCTTGAGTTGGTGACTAAAGTCATTTACTTTTAAATTACTCATTGTGTTTATTATAGAGAAGTAGTTAGAATTTTGAAAGAACTGGTCTAGAAGATTAAATACAGTCTTGGCCAAAGTCCATTCTCATTTCATTTATTCAGCAGCAGTCTGAGTGTCTACCATGTGCCTGGTACCGTGTTTGGTGCTGCAAGTATAATGGTACACGAAAACAGCAATTCTGGAAGTTAGAGTGTAATAGAAAAAGCACACTCTAACTGATTAAGTAATCTTATGATTAAATACATAGTACTGGAGGACTATAAAAAGGGCATTTCACAAATTTTTTGTGGGGTGGGAGAAGGGGAATCAATTAGGAAAGAGAGAGAGAATTTCTTGCACAGGGAATAGCATGGGCAAAGCCTTTTTTGCCCATTCAGGGAAGCAAAAGCAGTCAGTTGATGCAGAGTGTAGAGGGTGAGCAGGAGTGTAGTATATGTCTGGAAAGTGTACAATTGCTGTAGATTATAGTAAGGATTTTGGATTTTATGCCAAAAGCAATGGAAAGCCATAGAAGTGTTTCACATCATAGAAGGGGCTCTAAAGATGATGTTGAAGTGCTGAGATTTTACTTTTTAAAAGGCATTTGGTAAATGGTTTGGGTGGATGGGGTTTGAGTTCAATGAAAACAATACAATATTAGACTTTTTACAGTTTTCAAGATGAGAAAAATGATGGTTTGGAGGAAGATGGTAGCAGGGTTATAGAACACCTAGTGAAATTGAGAAAATTTAGAGAATTTAACAATATTGTGATAGATTGGATATGGAGAAGGGTGTTAAGGATAGCTGCTAGATGTGTGTTTTGTGTAACAAGACCACAATAGCCCTTCATTGAAGAGTGCATGGGTATGGGGAAGTAGTGAAAGAAAGCAAGTAATTCTTAAGACATTTGATTGTGAAGAGGGAAGGATATTATACTGAAGCCATAGGAGTATGTAGGGTCTAGGAAAGGTATTGTTTTTGGAAAATGGGGAGAGAAGAGCAGATTTAAAAGGTGTTGGAAAGGACCTCTGGTTTGAGGGAGAGATTGACTGGAGAGAGGAGGAAAGGGCTAATTGATAATATGAGAAGTCTGAAAAAGAGGAGGTGTTGGAGTGAAAGAAGGTCCAAAATAATGGTGTGGAGGGCATGGTTATCTTTAGATATGAGGTGAAAAAATAGGATGGCAGACACAGGTAGGTAGATAAGAAATCTAAAACAAAGTAACAATTGCTGTTGAGTCAACTGACTTACGGCAACCCTAGATGTGTCAGAATAGAACTGTGCTTGTAGGATTTTCAGTGGTTTATTTTTCACAAATTGATCACCAGGCCTTTCCCTCCAAGGCACCTCTTGGTAGACTCAAACATCCAACTTTCAGTTACCAGCTGTTTACATTAACCATTTGCCACCACTGAAGGACTTCAAACAAGAAACACAAGTTTCAATTCCAAAGTCAGTTATTAAGGAGGCTGGATTATCCACATCTATTTTGTATTATGTTTACCATTTACAGATAGATCTGATTATGAAAAACTGAACAGTCTTTCAGAGTTAATATCTCCTTTATTCCTTTTAAAAAAAAAAAAAAAACTCATTGCTGTCGTGTTGGTTCCGACTCATAGCAATACCTCCTTGTGTTTCCAAGGAGGTATCTCTATGGAAGTAGATTGCCTGGTCTTCCTTCCGAGGAGTGACTGGTGGGTTTGAACCAGCAGCCTTCTGGTTAGCAATCAAATGCCTTAGACACTATGCCACCGAGCTCCTTTATTCCTAGTCAATTTTAATGCAGTCTTTCAAATAAGCTACTTACCTAGGTAAAATAAGAATTAATGATAACATAACATTAAAGTATTTTAACTCTGTATCTCTGGAAGAACTTTTTTTTTAGAAAAACCTGAGTGGATTTATTTTGATATTATTTGCAAAGGTGTGTGCATGTGCGTGTATTAGAAAAACATTTCTTCCAAATTTATAGAAGGCTTGTCAAATGTGTATTTTATAAAATTTTATAGCTATTTGTTTACTACAGATAGCAATACTTGAAGGTAGGGAAGAAGTAACAGGAAAGGTGTTATCACATCCATTCCTTCATCTTCACCTTGGTGAAAAATCATATTTTAGTTCAAAGCTGTTCAAGTCCTTGCTCCGTTTTCCCACTCGGTCTTCAGTGATATTATTTGGAGTCAGCAATCAATGGATTCCATCCCTCTGAGACTTGCTTAACCTACAGCCGCTGATATAATACAGGCAAGAGCTTGTTACTTTATCTGAATTGTCCATCGCTACCTTAATGAGTGAAATGGTTAAGTAGAGAAGGGGGCGAGCCTTAAGGAATGTGTGTACCATTTCAGCTGAATATTTCAGTGTATATAGGGAGAGGGAGGGTTAGAGAGAAATCCACTTACATCACTAGAACTGCATTGAGTGTGAGCCTTGCAGGTTAAGAGACAGACTACAGTGTCTTGCTTTCTGCAGGAAGCAGCAATGCCGTTTGTTTCCTAAGAGGAATTTTTTATTTAGAAAAGGAAGCTTTCTCTCTACCCAGGAAATGGCTTTCCTTGTGCGTTGCTATGCCAACTGCCTGCAGCCATGGTCCTCCAAAGTAAGCACAATAATGTAATTATATTGGTGTATTGCATTCAGACTCATGATTCTCGAGATTGTGTGTGTGCATGTGCTGTGTTTCTGTTAGTGAATCTTGTGCTAGCAGTCATACTTGTGCTAAGTGTGAGGGACAGACATCATTAAATTAAATGTCCATCAGTGTCATGCTGCTAAGATTAATTGTGCAAACTTGGTTAGTGGAGTGGGACAGAGATCACTGGTCACCACTCTGTCAGCATCATTAGCAGCTAGGGAGGAGGTCCCGATTCACACGCTCTGCCCTAAATTTTTCTTTCTTTCTTTTTTTGTGGTTGGAGGGATCTGTCCTGTGTGTGTGATTACAAATGAAACAAGAGTATTAACAATGCTTGGCTGAATGCTAGAGACCGGTTCTTATACCACCCTGACTAATATAATTCTGTATTAAGCCTTTTTGAGGAGAGTCTGTGTGCAGTCAGCCATTTTAGCTTTTTTTTTTTTTTTTCCCTGCCCTCTCCTTTTCTTTTGCCTCTTGTTCTTCAGTCTCAGAAATGATCTTGTTCTCTTGGAAGACTGAGAACTGTATAAGGTTTCCCCAATCTTGTCATAGCCTAAGATGGTTAGAGTTTCAGTGTTATAAAAATGGACACGAACACCCTTGTTCGGATTCCTTTTCTGGTCTACAAGTGTGAGGGTGTTTTTTTTTGTTTTTTTAAGCTTACCAGTAGTGACACTTTAAGCTGCAGCTTGGTTTTCCCTCCTCCTCTTTTTTTATTTTTCTTTATTTTAATTTAATGCTGTAGAGAGTGACTTGCCATCCGTGAGAGATTGGTACATGATGTGTAAATTCAGTTCAGCATATGTTTCTTCATTATGAAACCACTAGCAATCCCAGCTAACCATGGAGTTATGGGCCAGCAGGAGAAACATTCAGTAAGTATCGCAAATGCTGCTTGTGCTTCGGTAGCACATCATAGTGAACTACTTTAAAATGGGAATTATTGCTCTTTCTCTTCAGGGAAAACAGTCTCTTTAAAGGGTTTAATAGTTTGCTTGCAAGAGGGAGGGTAAGTTACAACTGGCTTGTACTTCCAATTTTGTTGTAATTTTAAAAATATTTAAATAAGACCATTCAGTAAAAAAAAAAAAAAAATTAAAAGAAAAATGAACGCTGAGAAATACTGGACAGCTGATTTTATAATCAGAAATTTAAGAAAAAAAATCAGCTTTAATTAATACTAGTTTAAAAAAAATGTTTTTGTAGTTGAATATAATGACAAATCATGAAAAAGGTTATTGAGAATGAGCATCTGGAATGAGGAATTCACATGTAGGTTTGAGTGAGAGAAAAGAGAGCTTTGGTTATTGATTTGGTAATAAAATAATGAGTAGGACTCATTTCAGTTTGCAACATGTATTAATAGTTGATGAAAACACAGAACTATTATTATTTTTAAAGCCACAAGTATTGCTTCTTTATAATTGATCCCACGAGGCAGCCATCTGTTTGTCATACTGAAATCCCATAGGCAGCGACTGCTGTTCGTGAGGAACACTTCTATGCCTAGCACCAAATCTGAGCCTTCGGTATCAGGAATGTGAGTTCTCACAGAGCTACTTTTATATCACCATGTTGGAAGTTTCCTTGCATCACTCTAGTGCATATGCTGTGTGTGTGTGTGTGTGTGTGTATAAAATTTTATTTTTTTAAATTCTTAAAATGAAAATGCATGAATTTAGGCAGTTTATATAGTAGCTTGGGCATTCCTACTTCCGTAGTGATACTGCCTCGGAAACCAAAGGAGGGGTCGCTATGAGTCGGGGCCGACTCGATGGCAAACAACAACAACAACAACATATAGTAGCTTAAGTGTTTTTTGAAATGTCTGCCTTTCCACCCTTGTCTTGCAGTTACTACATTAGGGTGTAGAATTATTTATATATATATATTCTAAAAAGGATGAGATGTCAAACTTTGAAAACAAGATAAGTCACTAAAGTTTTGGAAATACTTAGGCAGTAGTGAATTTGGGATGTTCATATGCTCAAGTTAATGATTATAATTTGGCTTTTGTTCTTCATTACAAAGAAAATCCAAGGAAATTTCTTAGACAGTCTAAGTGACTCTTAAGGCATTATCTCACATTACCAATGAGCCACATGGTGTTCGTAAGACAGTGGTTGTGTTGGAAGCGTGCAATGTTGCACTTAGAGCCCAGCCCCCTCATAATGAGGTACTTGTAGTACTTCACTAATTGAATATCTTTAGATCAAATCCAAAAAAAAAAAAGACCAACTTTATACTTAATTTCACCAATAGGAAAGATTTTTATAGAGAAGTTCCATTGTAGTTGGATTTTATTAACAGGGCCTTTGAAATTAAGCTCCTCTGTAGTCATAATTTTTCCAGGTAAAAATGCGAGTCATTAGTTAAACTATACTAAAACCAGAGGCTCTTTATCTACATTTTTCGTTTCATTCTTTCTCAAAATGGAGGAAGGTAGATAATTATGTTAATAATAATATTTTATGAGCAAGTAAAATTCTTTAAACCATATTTACTGGTAGAGGGAAGAAAAAAATACTACTAGATTTGTAAATCTGAGAGTGGTTGGGAAAGGTAATACCCAATAGTGTATAAGCTAGAATCCTAGGCAACAGAAATGGTTAAGTGCTTGACAACTAACCAGAAGGTTCAAACTCATCCAGAAATGCCTGGAAGACAGACCTGGCACTTTGCTTCCAAAAGATCACAGCCTTTGAAAACCCTATAGAGTAGTCCTACTCTGAACTCATGGAGTGGCCACGAATCAATTGACTTGATGGCAACTAACAACAACAGTGCGTAAACTAGTGTATTTTGTTCTGTAAGTGTATTCATTTTCTGACAGTGCTTTATATTTCACTAAAATTTAGGCTAATGGTATGACAAAAGTAACGCTAGTCATAAAATACTGAATCTAGAATTTCTGGAAAATGTGAATGGTATTTCAAATGATACTTTTATTAGAATTTGAAATACTCAAGGTTAATAACTCAGCATCATATATGCAGCAGCACTGGCAGTTTGTGATGTCAAAATTTTGCTGTGCAGCTTATGATGTCAAAATTTTGCTATGTACTTGTTGACTAGTCCTTTGGTTATCTAGATTTTGCTATTTAATGATCAGGCCTTTAAACTTTTAATTATATGTTATTGTTGTTATGTACCATCGAGTCAGACCTGACTCATAGTGACCCCTCCTTGGGTTTCCAAGGCAGCATGACTACGGAAGTAGATTGCTCAACCTTCCTTCCGAGGAGTGGCTGGTGGGTTTGAACCGCCAGTCTTCTGGTTAGCAGTCAAGTGCCTTAGGCACTATGCTACCAGAGTCCTTTTAATTATATAGGAATAGTTAAGTAGTATAATCATTTCTCTGGATTTCATGTAATAGTGACTCAGTAAATAATTGTTGAGCAACAATGAGTGAGAAAGACTTTCTATCTTTGAAAGTTTATGAGAAAAATACCAGCGCAAATTTTAAATTTGCTCCCTCAAAAAGTTAACGGCTTTTTAACTAACTTTTGATTCTTTGATTTATGGAATGGAGTAAGGTGCTAAAAAAAAACAAATACTTTATATTGAGGATATTTTTCTAGATATATTTGGACAAAGTAGTAAACTCAGTATTCACTTTGTGAGACTCTTTCAGACCTTATGAGCTTTCTTTCTTTATTCTTTTTGTATCTCCCTCCTTATGTATCTCAGTTGCTGGTACATACTAGTTACACCGTAAATTCTGTTGAGTTTCTCCTTTAATTAAATTTTTGCATTAATAAAAACTCACTTAACATTTTTAAATATAGTAAATTTTTATATATTTTATCACACCATCTCCCCTTCTCATTCTTAATAATCATTTCATAATAGTAGGCAGATTACCTGTCCCTCACTGGAATGCTTCCTAAGTTGGGCTATATTCTTACAGTCATGTGTTGCTCTTTAGTTGATCGTCAGAAGAATCTTATGATTGTGTGAATTTTGAAGATAAAAGGAGATTATTAACATTTAATAATATAGTGTAACATTGCATTTCCAAAACACAGTTGTGGAACACTAGTTATACAGGTTGTTAATAGATGTTACATGAGAAAAGTGTCATAGGCTCAAAAATTGGGGAAAATTTTAAAATAACATGAGAGATTTCTTTATACTGTATATTATGTGTTTTGTTTTTCACCATGGTATGTTCCCTCTCTCCCTTTTCTCCACCTTAGATTATTTAATAGAAATAATGTTTCTTAAGCATGCCCTTGAAAATTCTGCAATTTAATATAACTTTAAAACTGTAAATTTTAAAAGTAAATCAGTTAAAGTAAAATGATTCAGTATTCTCAGAGTGATAATTGATTTTCCAGTTGTACATTTTTATATAATTTTTTTCTTATAGTAGTGTTGTCCTTATAGTAAATGATACTTCAATTCATGATTAAATATCTTTAAAAAGATAATATACCTAAGAAAATTCCTTAAACATGAGGTATCAGTAGCAGTAGTTGTAATTTCCTGATGGTAGGTACGATATTATGTGTTATTTGACTTAATTCTTACAAATAAGGAAAGATGTGTTATCTTTTTAGAAATTAGGATATTAAGAATTTGGAAGATTAAAATTTTTTTTTTCCTCCAGGGCATATATTACTAGTAAGTCATGGAGCCTTTATCAGGACCCAGGTAATCCTGGTTTCATAGCCTTTGTTTTTAACTCCAAATCTACATTACTTTGCTATGTTGTCAAATTTAGTCTAAATCAGGTGTGCAGAATGTGTGTATCAGCATGAGGGCTGACATTGACTAGTGGAGTACATAACTTGAAAAAACTTACTTGTTTTTTCCTACTGCTTTTTGTTGCCCAGCATGTGTAATCTTCCACATACTGTTAATATAAAATAACAATATTATGATGGAAACTGTTTTTATAAAACATTCAGTTGCTTAGCTCAATCAATAATGCCTCTGTTTTCTTTGGAATTATCCTGAGTCTTGAATTGGAATGATCAAGAATAGATATCATTTAGCTCGATTTCTTCTTCCTCTGCTTTTCTAAATTTGGCCGTATTGTGTATTCTCCTTTTAGCTTTGTAATTCTTTAGACATAAACCTGATGACTTAACTTCCTCTCCTATTCTTTTTGTAACCTCTCTCAGTTTACTCCATTGAAATCATTGGGTCTTGCTGTGTTAACGCCCTATTTTATGTCCTAGAGGAGCTCTGGTAGCATAGTACCTAAGGCACTTGACTGCTAACCAGAAGGCTGGCGGTTCAAACCCACCAGCCACCCTTCGGAAGGAAGATGGGGCAATCTACTTCCGTAGTGATACTGCTTTGGAAACCCAAGGAGGCGTTGCTATGAGTTGGGTCCGACTCGACGGCACATAAGAACAACAACAACAACAGTGAAGACTGCATATATCATGGAGCCCAACTTCAATTCATGATCACTTCTCTAAAAGTTCACAGTAGGCGTGACTCATTTATAAACATAAATAACAATTTTATCATCTCATAAGCCTCTTCACCAAAAAAGATGGCATATAACTTACCCATATTAAGTCTATATTTGCATTAGTCACTTAAGCACCTCTGTGATTTACATTCCCACAGGCTTTTTTTTTTTGAGGGGGGGGGTGCTTAAAGAACAGGCTGGTAATTTAAAAATACTTAGGTTCTTTTTTCTTTTCCCGTTTCTTAGCTTGCAGTACTCTTCACTTGCTCCTAGTCATCTCATATTCCTCTCTTGTTTTTTCTGAATATGGCCCTCCTTGGGTGGCACAAATGGTTTCGTTGTTGGCCACAAGGTTGACTGTTTGAATCCACGCAGAGGTACCTTGGGAGAAAATCCTGGCAGTCTACTGAAAGGTCATAGCCATCAAAAACCTTACTTTCAGAGTAG